GAGGATGTCTCAAGCGAAACGGACTGGACCACCTCGCGCGCGGCATCTAGAACCCCAGAGTTGCGGCGATGTCTCGGGCGAAACGTGCTGCGAGGAAGTCTCAGGCGAAACAGGCCGGACCACCTCGAGCGCGGCGTCTCAGAGCTCCGAGTTGCAGGGGCCTCCTGGGGCCTCCTGGGGCCTCCTGGGGACAGCACGGGCGCCAGCACGGAGGCTGGAAGCAGAAGTGAGCTGCTTCTTTTCGCGATGTAAGCCCGTCCAGCTCGGCCTCAGACTCTGCCCATTTTGATGGCGGGTCTGGCGCATTTGAAGAATGCGCCAAGGGCGACCGCAATTTGATCGGTCAAACTGGCGCGCGCGAGTTTCTCTGCGAATATCCCGCGAATCCAAGCGTAGCTGGAGTGAGGGATTGTGCTCTCCAAGGAGCTATCCGGGAATCTTCCTTGCGCGCTTTGCAGGGCTCCACGCATCGTAAACGGCGCTCCTGCAAGCGTCTCCTGCGAGGTTTCCAGCGCCCCGCGCATCGTTTCAGGCGGCCTGGCAGAGGTCCCCGTGCGGCGTTCCGCGCTTGGCTTCGCTATCCGGGTTTTGGACTCTTACAAGTTCGGAGATAGCGAGAGATTTTGAAATTCGTTTTGTAAACTTGAATTTTTATTCTATGGAGTGAACCATTGCGCTTCCGATGGTGCAAATCTGAGGGTCATAGCTCTGCAGAGTTCTATGCTCTGCGGCTTGGGTCCGCTTGATCAATTCGAGTGGGCTCTGGGGTTGCCGTCGTGTGAAGGCACCCTGGCAGTTCCTGACTCGGTGTCCTCTCATCCTGTGGCCTCCTGGACCCCACCTGGGGCTTCCTGAAGCCTCTTGGGGTTCCCAGGGGGGGATATCTAACATGTGGCCGTCGGGGCCCACCAAAATGGGGGGCGGCCACAAGAGCAGGAAAAATCAACGAATCGACACCGGATTTGTATTAATTTGACACGTTCTGATAAGGGGCCTCCTGGGGCCTCCCGGGAGCCTCCTGGGAATCTCCTGGGGACCCTCTGGGGCCTCCTGGGGCTCCCAGGGTCCCAGGGGGGATATGTAACATGTAACATGTGGTCTTCTGGGCCCCCAGGCTGGACCACCTCTTGGGCGGCATCTGGGAGCTCCGAGTTGCGAGAATGTCTTTACGAAACGGGCCGGACCACCTTACGCACGGCATCTCAGAGCTCAGAGTTGCGAGGATGTCTCAGGCGAAACGGGCCGGACCACCTCGCGCATGGCATCCCAGAGCTCATAGCTGCGAGGATGTCTCAGGCGAAACGGGCTGGACCACGTCGCGCGCGGCATCTCCGAGGTCAGAGTTGCGAGGATGTCTCAGGCGAAACGGGCCAGACCACCTCGCAAGCGGCATCTCGGAGCCCAGAGTTGCGAGGATGTCTCAGGCGAAACGGACTGGACCACCTCTTGCGCTGCACCTCGGGGCCCAAAGTTGTGAGGATGTCTCAAGCGAAACGGGCCGGACCACCTCGCAAGCGGCATCTCGGAGCCCAGAGTTGCGAGGATGTCTCAAGCGAAACGGGCCGGACCACCTCGCAAGCGGCATCTCGGAGCCCAAAGTTGCGATGATGTCTCAAGCGAAACGGGCCGAACCACCTTGCAAGCGTCATCTCGGAGCCCAGAATTGCGAGGATGTCTCAGGCGGAACGGGCCAGACCACCTCTCGCACGGCACGTCGGGGCTCAGTTTTTCTCAGGATGTCTCAAGCGAAGCGGCCCTGACCACCTCTCGCGCGGCGTCCCGGAGCGCAGCTTTTCGAGGATGTCCCAGGCGAAACGGCCAATCCCGGCAAACTCAGAAACGAGAATTGTGAGGATGTCTCAAGCGAAACGGCCCAGACCATAAGATTTTTGTGAGGATGTCCCTGCTCCCCTTTCCCTCGGCCGGAGTTAGTTTCTATCACAACAGCACCCCGTTCAGCAAGCAGTTTGGGGATTGAGCCAGCAGCCAGTCAACCCCATTTATAATATCATGATATCCCTCCTTTCACCTCCAAAAACGCAAAGAACCTTAGAGCAACGCGATATGCAGCGGCGCGGCAGTATAGCATCAGGTCCCGTACCTCCCGTTTCAGCCCAAGTTTGGTGGAACAGATTGTACGCGAGAACATTCACAGCGAAACTCTGGCTCATGTTCCGAATCTTCCTTGCCCTCCCCACCAGCTCCGCATTAGGTTCCGCCCACGGATCGATCTCCCCCCCGCCCCCGACGATGAAGCCCAAATGCTTCCCACGATGGGCCAACTGAAAAGCCTGGGCATCCAGACCGTGGTGGGCGAACAATCTACAGGAGGAATCATGATCACTGTCGCGCTCGGGTGTACAACCAGACCAGTCAGTTGTTCAAACCAGGTCGCAACTTTCATAACCACAGGTAACGAATGAAAAATATCATGGGACGTGTGACTCCAATCATCAGCAAAAGCGTACAGTGACCGCCTCTGACTCCTCGACATTGGGCAGAGGGACCTGGGGATACTCCACATCATGCACACTTGCAGCGGGTCCACGATTATGACGTACAGCAGCCCACTCAACGGGCACCCCTGCTTCAGACACCTCTCGAGCAACATATAAGTGTCCTCCTGCCACGGGAGCGGATGCACACCTTAACATTGCCACGCAGGAGCTCGAGGGCAGGGATAGAAAAAGCCATGCAGCTGCATCTTGCACAGAATGTAAAACATGAGCGCATGCGATACCGAAAGGAACGCAGCCTTGCCGTCGAAGGGGGCGCCTCCAGGGGAGGAGTGCCCTTCGACAGCCGACCAAACCCGAAGCTCCAAGCCAATGGAGACGATGCGGTCCAGGATTTGACGACCAGGGGAAAGCCAGCCTGAGCATGATGAGCCAAAAGCGGAGCAACTTCCCGAAGCGGACAGGACAGCCCCCCCACCACCAGCTGGTTGTCGGCATTCGAGAGAGTGAGAGGCCGAGTGCAGGTCGCCGTCCTAGCTCCGCCAGGCTCGGACACTGAAACTTCTCCGTTCGGGAGAAAGGCCGCGAGCGAAATTAAAGTCGCCCCCGAACTTGCCAGCGCGCAGCCCCGAGCGGCCGAGCGGAGCAGCTGGCATAGCGGGACCGCTGCCATTCCAACGCGCGCCTCCCAAGCCGAGTAAGGAAGCCCGCCAACCCCTGGACAACCATCTTTCTTCTTCGAACCAAGCTGGTAGAACTGGTCATGGCGGAAGACCCGCTGGACCGAGGGCCGGATGGTTTGGACGAAGGTGCCCAGGTGCTGGAAATCCTCCTCCGCGGCGGGCGCATGCTTAGATGCATTGCTCCAGAAGCTGGCCAACTCCATGGCGCGCGCATTGAGGTCGCTAAGCTGCTGCCCCAACTCGGTCAGAGCAGTTTTGAGGTAGAGCCCACGGTGCGCGGGCGCACATGCTGCAACAAGCTCTGTAATGCGGGATATGTCATGGGTCTTCTTCGCACCAGTCATCTCCTCATCCTGCAGAACCTAATTTGTCCTGTTGGCAGTAGATATCGCGCGTGAGCGCAGCGAGCATGGAGTGGAAGCCCTCCAGGCCCACCCACTGAGGCACCTGCACGTCGTAAAAGTCTGACGTAAAAGTCTGAAAGCTTGCGCCACGACCGACAAGCCTTTTCGGCGACTCCCCCCCCATCCCGGCGAGCACGCAGCATGGCAACCATCCAGGAGATTGTTTGACTAGGGGTGTTGTGGCCCGAGGATTTCCGTAGTCTACTTCATCCTCCGCGCGCTTTCGTGCATCAGCTCGTTAACCTCGTCAAGCAATAGGGCACGTGGCCAGATTTACCTCCTCAAGCAAGCCAATCAGCTCAGCCGAGAAGCGCGGGTGCCTAGTCACCAACTGGGGCACGGCCTGTCTCGGAGACCTCGCACCTCCAGTCAGGGACAAGAAAGATGCACCATAGTTGCTCGGGGTGCGGCGGTCGAACAGCCCCCAACATACACCGGTGAGAAAGTTGAGGCCCAGGAGATCGGAGGCGGGGGGCGATGTGTCAATTCGATCCAGTCTACCAGTCGACGTTGCACCAGCAGCATGAACGGCTTTGCGAGCATGCGATGTTCCATGAATCTCTATGAACTGGGGGAAGGCCGAGTCGAAGTGTGTAGCGAGAAAGTCCGACCCAACCTCGTTCAAGTTGCTGGCGCGCGCAACCTACACTCCCCTCGCGCATAGAAGTTGCAATCTCCGCCCACGATCGCGGCGGCGGTCGCAGGTTGCGCCCTTGCGCGAATACTGCGCCGCAAGCCCTGGACCTGGACGTGAGAGAGGACGGGGTTAATGTGGGTATTCACCAGATCCAGACTACAACATGCACGGGATCCCGACGCGGCCAGCAGAAATCGGCGCATGCCTAAACCTGGAGAAAAGGATGGCGAGCCGCTCAGTGATCATGAAAACGATGCCCCCGGCCCCGACAGGATCCGCGAAGGACCCATGAACCTTCCACTTAGGAAACGCTTTTTTTCCGCAGTTCACAGAGGCCCGCAGCTTCGCCATGCGTTTCTTGCAGGAGGATCACACCATGAGTACCTGACAGCTTGCGCGGGCGCCTCCAGGTGGCACGCCGCGACCGGGCACGTCCCCAGACCGAACCAAAACGCGCGCGGCAACTCCACGCGACCACCTCCAGCGAGGAGATGGGTGGGAGGAAGGGCTCAGACCACTGGGGAGGGGGATCGAACAACTCCTGGGGCCCAGACTGTAAGGGGACTGGCGATTCGGAGCAAGAGGAAGCGGATGGCCGCTTACCTGGGCACGAGTCGAGCCACGCGGCCCCCGGTCGCCCGCGCGCCGCGCGCGCGCGGCCCCAGGCGCGGCAGCCTCGGACGAACTGCTGCCAGGGGCGGGCGCGCGCACGAACGCCCGCGCGGGCACGGGGGCCCTACGCCTCCGGCGGCGAGCTCAGAACCCCCGACCACGAGCAGGAGGAGGCGGAGGACGAGGTGGAGGAGAAACGGAATCGGCTGAGCTTGCACTAGCAGGCCCCAGTGCACTAACGCCAGTGCGCAGCGTCGACCTGGCCCTCGAAGAAGGGGAAGGTCGTGGACCCGGGGCTGCACCCACCACCAGCTGTGGAACACTATCAGCGCGCACTGGTAGATGTTCTCGCGCAGGCACATCCCATGCACAGGTGGCCACCCTCACAATCAGGTCCGCGACCTCAGACTCGGGGATCTTCCGCCAAGAGAAAGAGTCAAAGACGGGATCGAAAAAGAAGCCGCTGGCCTCGCTGCTCTTGACCCAGTAGAGCTCGAAAGAGTCGCTCGCGGATGTCCGGTGGATCAGGCGCTGGAAGCCATTGGCCCCCAGGCGGTAGCCCTCCAGCTCGCGCTTGCACTTGCGGAAAAGGGCCGAGGTCTCCTCCCAGACCTTGCTCGCGGCACGCTGCTTCGACCTCGCGTCCAGGGGCAGATCCTGCCGCGCTCGAAGCGCTGCCGTGGCTGCGGTGCGCTGGTCCCTCCAATGCAACACATTGCCGGCGAGGAACTCCGAGAATGCCCGCGCAGCAGCACTATCAGGGATGACGATGCCGTAACTCTTGGAGACCCCCTTCAGCTGGGGCGACGCGTTCTCGAGAATGTGCGATGGCAGCAATGGCTTGATGGCGGTCTCCCAGTGTGCCTGCTTCTGCGAGCCTGTGATAGTTCTGGGGGAAGTCTCGATCCATCTCCGACAATCACTAACAGGAGCCTGAGAGCCACCAGCTCCGCTGCCCGAGCTGCTGGAACCTCGAGCACTGAAGTCGTTACCTGCTTTCATGGCTTTCGCTTGGTTAGCGAATTCTCGCACGTCCATCGTGAGGTCGATGACGAGCTTGTCAGAGTTCCGTGTGGCGCCGAATGTAGCCCAAGGGTCGGTGGTGTCCCCACCCGCAGCAGCAGCATCCCCAGACTGTGGAGGCGGTTGTCCGTTGACCCTGTTTGTGGGCTGCTCAAGAGGAGCCTCAATCGCGGCCATCCTGGCGTCGCCCTCGCTCCTGACCAGCTTGAGGTCCTTCAGGATGAGGGACTGCGAGGCGTTCACATGCTGCTGAAACTCAGAGCTGAAGCTGCTGCGCATGGAACACGCCATTTCATGCATCGCGGACTGGAGCGCTGGAGCGATCCCCGCAGCCAGCCTGCCGCAGTCGGTCTTGGCGTAGTCGAAGCAAGTGGTGGACGCACCGCTGCATTTGCTCGTGGCTGAACGGTCAGAGCGACTGCGCGAGTCATTTGAAGCATGACTCCCGTCACGAAGGAGTCCACTCGACCGTGGTCGATCTCGCCTGGGACGAGCTTCTTCCTCACTGTCACGATCAGCGATCAGCAGCACGTTCGCCTCGCTTGCGCCCCATCGCGGCGGGAGGACAGGTGAGGGGTCGTCGACGAAAAATGGATGTGCATCGGGAAGCCTACATCAAAATTGCCGTCTCTCTGCCTCTGGGCTGGCGGAGGAGAGACTTCGGTGCGTCGGCGCCCCTCGTGCCAAGACGGCCTTGAGCCAAAGTGGCTACGGAGGAGGAGGAGGAGGAGGAGGAGGAGGATCGAGAGGTCAGGGAGAGCAGCAGGAGCGGGATCCCGATGGGGGAGGGGAACCTCTCGCGCCGAGCGCACCAGCGCTTCGCCCCCTCGACGACATTGCGCGCGCCCTGCCGGTGCAAAGCCGCGGCCGCCGGCGGGGCTCCGCCTCCAGCTGCTTCACGTTCTGCGACGCCTGGAGGCCGGGCTCGGCAAGAGCAACACAAAAAAAAGGCGCACGGGTGGGAAGTTTTGCTTAGCGTATCGCCGCGGCGGCCCTGGCGATACGCGATGCCCTGCCAGCGGGTAGCGTGTCCCTCCGCTCCGCGGGCTGGGGGTCGCGAAGTGGATAGCGTGTCGCACCGAGGTGTGGTGGGCCAGAACCGGCAGAGCGACACGCCACCAAAAAGAACGGACCGTAAACACAATTCCTCTTGAGTGGACACAAAGGTACCCATACTGCTACTCCCAGACCTGTCATCATCATCATCATCATCATCATCATCATCATCATCATCCTCATCATCATCCTCATCATCATCATCATCATCATCATCATCACCACCTCCACCACTACCACCACAATCACCACCACCATCACCACCGCCATCATCACCATCATCATCTCCTCCTCCTCATCATCATCATCATCAGCATCATCATCATCATCTTCATCTTCCGCATCACCAGCATCATCATCACCATCATCGTCATCATCAGCAGCAACATCATCATCAGCATCATCATCATCATCATCATCATCATCATCATCGTCATCATCATCGTCATCATCATCGTCATCATCATCATCATGACGTCCTCTTGCTCCTCTGATTCCTGGCGACCTCCGCGCCCACGCGCACGGGTGCGGGCAGCAGTCCCATGCTGGCTGGCTCTCACCCTCCCCGTTCAGTCCTCCTTCTCCTTCTTGCGGATGTCGTTCAGGCGGTCCTGCTCGCGCTTCTCGGCCTCGCAGCGCGAGCGCCGGGGGTGGGCCAGAGAGAGCCCACGAGGAGGGATGGTCTGATCTCGGCTCGGGCTGTGGCCTCCTCCACGCCCCCGTCACCGTTCCCCTCCCACCCTTCCTCCTCCTCCTCCTCCTCCTCCTCCTCCTCCTCCTCCTCCTCCTCCTCCTCCTCCTCCTCCTCCTCCTCCCGCTCGCCTCTGCTTTGTGCTCAACATTGTCGAGCCCCCTGCCACTCAGCGAGGGAGCCCGCGACTTCGCCCTCTTCTTTGAGCCCGCTGGAGGTCGAGGTCGCGGTGCCTCCCACGCCTTCGGGGTTCAGGGGCGCAGCTTCGGCTTCCGCGTCCCCTTGGCGGCATCCGCGGCGAATTGTTGCTGGCGCGCCCTTACTCCGAACGGAATTGTCCGGGTCAGACGTCAGAGGAAACAGGCCAGAGCATACATAAACACCCATACATACGTACTACACACATACATACATGCATGCATGTATGCATCCATCCACCCATCCATCCATCCGTCCGTCCATCCATCCATACATACGTACATACATACACACATAATACATACATGCATAGATACATAGATACATATATAGATACATACATGTATACATACATACATACATACATACATACATACATACATACATATATACATGCATGCATGCATGCATGCATGCATACATACCTACCTACATGCGTACGTACGTACATACCTACATGCATGCAGGCATACATACATGCATACGCACATACATACGTACACACTTACATACATGCGTACGTACGTGTATGCCTGCATGCATACATGCATACATGCATGCACGCAGATGCATGCATAAATGTATACATGCATACACACATGGACGCACACATACATGCATACATGCATGCATGCATGCATGCATGCATACATGCATACAAACATACATACATACATACGTACATACATACATACATACATACATACATACATACATACATACCTACATGCACACATACATACATACATATATGCATACATATATACGTCCGTACATGCATACATACTTACGTATACACACATACATACGTATACACACATACATGCATGCATACATACATACACACGTACATAAACACACATATCTACGTACATACATGCATACACACATACATACACATCGATACACCCACACAAGCATGTATGCATGCATACATGCGTATATGCATACATGTATCAGCGCATCCATGTATGTATGTATGTACACACATACATACATACATACATGCATGCATGCATACATGTATACATACCTACATCCAGGCATACATACACGCATGTATGCATGCATACACACATTCATACATGTATACATACATGCGCGCATGCAAGCATTCGTATCTATATTCAGATGTATATATATACAAATATAGATACAGCTCGCCATCCTGTGATCATACCAGTTGCCTTGGCTGCGATGCTCCATTTGTTGAATTCATCCGTCCTCCCCCTCATCTGCTCCCCGCTCTCCACCGTTCCTCCTCGTCGTCGTATCCTCCTTCACCGGGGCAGCGCAATCTCGGGCTGGGAGCGGCTGGGCTGTGCAAGGCTTCTCGGCCGTCTCTCGCGCTGGACCCCAGTCCCTCCCTGTCCTCAGGAGGGGGATGATGATGATGGTGATGATGAGGAGGAGGAGGAGGAGGAAAAGGAGGAGGAGGAGGGAGATGAGGGGGAGGGGGGAGATGAGGACGACGACGTGCTGCTAGGGGCCTCTTCAGGGAGGAAACTGTCGTCGTCCTCGTCGTCGTCGTGCTGTTTGGGGCTCCCTCAGGGAGGGGTTCGTCGTCGCCGTCGCCATCGGCGAAGAGTGGGAGCAGGCAGGGAGGAGAAGGAAAAGGAGAGGGGGAAGAGGAGGCGGAGGAGACTCCACAGGGCCACAGACTCCACCTCGCTCTCCCTGTACATGCCCTGGCCGCCGCGCCAACCGGGCGGGTAGTGCCGACAGTCTCGGGCCCCCAGAAACCTTCCGAGCGGGGAGGGGGCTGGGAACAACAACTGGGAGCGTGTACTGTAAATTACACTTTCTGTGGTGTTGCGAGTGGTGGAGCTGCCGTTGCTGGTTATGGTGCTGCTCTTGCTGGTGCTGCTGCTAGCCAACGGAAACAACAACGCAACACCACAACAACAACGCACCAACGGCGGCAAACAGAACACAACAACAGCAACAACAACACCAACAACGACTACAACAACAATCATTCTAAGACTGGTCGCTCTTACCTGCCCGCGTGTCATTCAAACCGAGTTCACCCTCGATACCCGCCATGTTTGTCTTCGGTCACACCCCCTTTGGGGGGATTATTTCTCTTTGCGGGATGCGGCGGCCTTAGACAGGCGGGCAAACCTGAACGGGCAGACAATCCTTCGTGGGCGTACATGTGCCCGCCATTGGAATTCGTGTGGGCCCTGCAGAAAGAGGAGGGGGAGAACGAGGGCGAGTGGGAGGAAGGGAGGGGGAGGGACGAAGGAAGAGGGACAACGCCAGGAGAGAAGGAGCGAAGAGGGGGGCGGTTGATTTGAGGCAGAGAGAGAGAGAGAGAAAAAAAAAAAAGACAGATAAGAGAGGTAGAGAAAGAGAGAGAGGGCAGAAAGAGAAAGAGGGAGGGAAAAGGCAGGAGAGGGGAGGGAGAAAGGAGGAGGGAGAGGAGGGAGATGGAATAGGGCAGAGAGGCATAAGGATGAGGAAAGAGAGGAAGGAAAGAGGAGGGAGGAGAGGAGGGAGGAGGGAGAGGGAGGAGGAGCAGGAAGGTAAGAGCGTGAACGTTCGAGGAAGTCCTAAGCGAAAGCGCCGTTCCTGAAGGAAGTCTCGGGCGGAAGCCCACGACGGGCGGGCGATCCCCTGACGGGTGGGTCGGGCGGGTGGGACATTCAAGCGGGATGCCTGAGTATGGCGAGAGCGCGGTTATTAAGTACATTGTAACAGCGTCCTTGGCGCAACGTGTTTCCTGAGCGTCGAAAGCGCGATGTCTGAATACATCTCATGGAAGTCACAGGCGAGAGCGCAATTCCTGAATAACATGTGAAGGGTTCTCTGGCGGGAGCGGAGGTCTTGATAACGTTGCGAGGAAGTTTTGATTCAATTGCGAGGAAGTCTCAAGCGGGAGCGCCGTTCCTGACTAAATTGTGAGGAAGTCTCAGATGGGAGCGGGGGTCCTGACTAAATTGCGAGGAAGTCACAGGCGGGAGCACCGATCCTGAGAAAATTGTGCGAGGAAGTCTCAGGAGCGGGGGTCCCGAGTAAATTTGGAAGAACTCTCAGGCGGGAGCCGTTGTTGTTGTAATCTGGGGGGCCAGGGGCCCAGTTTGAGCACCAAAACTTTCCCTGTCAAAAAACAGGGTGCGAGCATCGAGGGGTACACTTTGATTGAGAGAAAACAGTATGCACCGGTGAGGGGGGATCATCAATAATTGTTCTTCAGAAATGAGAATTCAACAACAATAACACCAACAACCACAACAACACCAACAACACCAACAACAACGACCACGTCACCGACGATCGGTCAATCAGGAACAACACCACCACGGAAACAAGAACGGAAACACTCGACCGAATACCGACATAACGCAGCAACATCACACTAACGGCGATTAACAGAAAACAGCTGAGTCACCTGTAGGGATAAGGGGCATCCGAAGCAATACAAAGCCAATACCAAACAGCGCTTGGCGCCCTCCCCGTCCCAGCACCCTGCTCCGCGCCTCCCAGACCAAAATAACAAAACACACACAGTAGTTGGCGCCCTTGGTGCAAGGAAACACTGTGCATGCTTGCTGTTTTGGGGTTTTCGCTGGGTTTGTGAAACCACGAAACACTGTGTTGTTGTGTTTTTTTTTGTTGTTGTGTATGCCCATATGCTCGCCGCGACCCCCGTGCCCGCACCCTGCTCCGCGCCTCCCAGACCAAAAAATATCAGACATACACAAGAGGTGGCGCCCTTGGTGCAAGGAAGCACTGGTATAGCTTGGTTTGGTTGTCTTGGTGTGTGAAACCACGAAACACTGTATATGTGTTGTTGTTGTTTTGTTGTGTTTGGTTTTGCAAGCCCCAATGCTCGCCGCAGCCTCCCCCGCAACACTTCCCTCTGAACCTACACCCACCCACCCACCCAAAACAAATCACCGAACTTAGTGGTTCCACAAGTCCAAAGAAAACGAAAAACATACGTGCATCCTTTCATCGAGGGCGCAAACTACTGTGTATGTGTGGTTTGTTTGGTCTGTGAAGCGCGGAGCAGGGTGCGGGCACGGGGGTCACGGCGAGCATTTGGGCATACAAAACCCAAAACGAATGTACAGGGCTTCGTGGTTTCACAAACCAACAAAACATACCCTGGCGACGTACCCAACCCCTGCGCAATGCATGACGTGACATGGGCGCATATACTTCTGCGAGCGGCATTCGCGAGGCTCGCAGCCCCGCAGAGATGGCGAGGTCCCGCTCAGATCTGCGTGGTGCCTCACTCCGCTGGCCCCGCCAGCAGCCCTCGAACGTGGCGACGGTTTCGCAGATCGCAGCCCCCCAAGGACGGCGAGGTCTCGCTCAGATCTGCGCGGTGCCTCACTCCGCTGGACCCACCAGCAGCCATCGAGAACGGCGACAGTTTGGCGGATCCCCCCCCCCCAAGGGACGGCGAGGTCTCGCTCAGATCTGCGCGGTGCCTCACTCCGCTGAACCCACCAGCAGTCCTCGACAGTGGCGACAGTTTCCCAGATCGCAGCCCCCCCCCCAAGGGACGGCGAGGTCTTGCTCAGATCTGCGCAGTGCCTCACTCCGCTGGACCCACCAGCAGCCCGCGAACGTGGCGACGGTTTCGCAGATCGCAGCCCCCTCAAGGACGGCGAGGTCCCGCCAAGATCTGCGCGGTGCCTCGCTCCGCTGGGCCCACCAGCAGCCCTCGAACGTGGCGATAGGGATGCCGAGGTCTCGCTAAGATCTGCGCGGTGCCTCACTGCGCTG